AACATAATTGCATTTAAATCTGATCCAAATTTCACGAATCTTTAATTTTATCATCATTAAAGTTACAGAATAAAATCCGAAATTTCATTTTTTTTATAAAAATCAAATTAATAATCAAAAATAAATTTTAATTTCATATCTATATACAATTAAAGAATGATGCTCATTTAATATTGATCTTGCATTAGAAATTTGCAATAGAAAGAAATCTGATTTTACTATTGAAACACCTAATTGTTATATTGAATTGATAAAATTATGCATTTTTAAATTTAAGCCAAATCATATAAAGTATAAGTTTTGTGATTTAGTTAATGTTTTAAGTTCTACTTTACATGCTGGCATATGTGACTACGTATATTTATATCCATAATCATCTTTACTATTATACTTTGCATGATGAGCATTAAGAAGTCATGAAGATACTTGTCACATTGAATTTAATTTAAAAACGATTGAATCTACAAATTCATTGAATTGTTTTCTAACCAATTCTAAATAATTATTAAAAAGTTCTTTTCGAATTTGAACCTCGACTCTTTCAGAAAGTAGTTTTAAATTTGACGAATGTATATAATAAATATAGACGGTGAAAAAAATAAAAAAAAATGATAGAATTAAAATACTATTTTTCAAGAGTGAAATAGTATTTAAAAGTTTTTCGTTTGTTTCTTGAGAGAAGCTATCTCGTGATTGTATTGCTCAAATTCCTGGGCGACACGTTCAGTAATGATTTGTCTTGTTTCTATTAAAATAAATAATTTAATTTTTTTTTTAACATAAATTTTAATAAAAAATAATTACCATCAGAAATAACCTGCTCTGAAATCATTTTATTTGTTATTTGAAATTACACAAATTTAAAAATCAAATTTAAAAATTCTGGCTCTTAAATACCTTCTGGAGCTATTGTAAACGAATCTGATATTCCTAGACCTGGGTAAGGTGGGGGTGGCGAATCTGGAACAGATAACTCTGAAAAAGAATCTTCTCTGCGAGTAGAAGATAATCGACTCGGGTAATGTTCTTCTTGATTAGGAGCATATCGTCCAGATACGGTTTGTCTCAAAAGATATGACATGGTAATATCAATTAATAAAATAACATATAAAGCTTGTAAGAAACACATAAAATTTATTATTGTTCAAGTTACAGAAATGTTTTCTTTATAACCAATCTAAATATAACTAAAATAGATATTCCTTGTAAATCCAAAATAAAGACATTTTTAGACATATTGATATCAGTTAACCAAATCAAGTAAATAAATCTAATCAAAGTATTGTTTATATGGGTTATTCTTTATATACAAATTTAGGTTTGCGTATTTATTGGATAATAAAGTAGCTCAATTATATATATACGATAGAAGACAAGTCAAACTTCGTTTTCTCAAATCAATATATGACATTCTCGATATAAAGTATATAGAAAATAACAAAAATCAAAATCTTGTAAACATAAAAAAAGCCATTAGAAAAAGAATATTATAAATAAATAACTTTAATAAATATTTAACTCGTTCCTTAAATAAAATTTTTATTTTATTATAATAATTTATTTTAAAAAAAAATATACAAATTTTAAAATAAAAAAATAAAAAAAATTATTTATTTTTTAATATTTCCCCCGACTCGTATTTATCTAATAATTCAATATTTCTATTGATTAATTTTTGATTATTAATTTTAAGTTTATTCAACTCTCTTTCTAGTTTTTTAATATTTTCAACCAACGACAAACCTTTATTATAATTGGAGAAAGCCTCTTTACAATTTTTTTTCAGTTTTAAACATGTAGTACACAAGTATTGATTGTTGTTAATTTTTTTCTTAACTTCAAGAAGAGAAAAAACGACTATATCGAGATCTTTCTCTAACTCCATCTAATAATAAAAAAAAATTATTATTAATAATTTGTTTATAAACAACGTATTAAAAAATTAACTAAATAAAATATCATAAAAACAAAACAAAAAAAAACGAGTAGCGCTATCGAAATTCACAAGTTTAAACTTGTGTCATCTAATCACTGCTGGTCCTAGTTGCCAATTAGGAGAAGACAAAAAATATTGTTCTTTACTACCAGTAGACTAAATAATTATATATATCTAATATTAAAAAAAAAAATAAAGAAAACACTAACATTTCATGAGAATAAAAAAAATTGTTTACAAAAAAAAGATTATCTTGATTTTAAATAAATATTTATAGTGATTTGTGTAATGTTTATATATGCGACAATGATCTTTTTCTGTTACACGTTCCATGTATGTGATGATCTACAAATGTGATATTTGAGTATAATAGACCCATTATTCTATATTAGACCTTCAAAAATTAATTAAATTTTTTAAATTGCACAAATATGATGTAATAATAAATGAATATAAAAGGCAAAAAAAAAAAAAAGCTAGCCCTTTTTACTAAATGTAGAAATGCAAAATAACTAAGACAAAAATAAAAGATAAATTGAATATAAAAAATAAAAGATAAATCGAACATATATACCTGCTGTAGTATAAAACTCAAAAAACTTGCAACTAGGGTTCCTTAAAGTCGAATCGAATCAAATATTTACATATTTGAATTTGATCGAATTGAATAAGCTCTTGATTTGAATTTGATTTGATCAAATAAAATTCAAATTAAATCAAATTTATTTGTAATTTTTATTAAATATTTTCGAATCAAATCGAATATTTTGTCAATTTGAATTTGATTTGATTTAAAATTACTGTATTTGAATTTGATTTGAGATTAAATATTTGATCAAATCAAATCAAATCAAATTGAATTGTGAAACTCTACTTGCAACAGTGTTGTTGCTACAAGACATTGTATGAATAGTAAAGACATATACTTTTATCGTTAAAGCTTTATATCGTTAAACCTCACCTTGACACATATTATAGAACAGTCACTCAATATAGAAATATCTAATAATTTATCTACATTTTTAGAACTATTAACAGAATTATTTTCGGAAAATACTGCACCTGTTTTCTTACAAAATCATACATCATTAAACCTTGCCTTGACATGTAATACAATAGAATAGTCTCATAAAATAGAAATGTCAAATATATCTACATTTTCAAAACTATTATCAGAATCATTGCTGAAAAATACAGCATCTGTTTTCTCTTAATTATTAAACCTTGCCTTGACACATGATATAACAAAACAACCATCTGATATAGAAATGCAGAATAGCATGTTATTAAAACCATTGGTAGAATCATTGCCAGAAAATGTTATGCCTATTCTTCCACAAAATTATAATTATATAGTATCTAAATTTTACCAGTTTTCTAATTATATTACACCAAAAGAATTCTTAATTGATCAATTCAAAATAGACTTCTTTGTCAATATTAATGATATTGAAGATACACAACAATAGTTTTCTGAATATGAGGAAATATCAAAAACCATGATGCCTAAAACAAAGAGCTTTCAAGTTCAAGGCAAAAAAGTTATTCATCAGGAACTACAGTATGATATTGTATACATAATAATATGACCAAGCAAAAGCAGGAAAATCCTATAACAAAAAATTCTAATTCATTATGTGTATAAAATACAGAGTATTCAGCTACAATTCATTTTTGAATTGAACATTGGCGCCTTTAAACTACTTACCCACTTGAGATTAATATTAAATTTATATATAATCATGTAGTTTATTCTGCTGAGTCTCTTAGCTTCCGGCATGTTAAAGATAATGTGCATAATTATTATCTTGAGCTATTTGCTAATGGGCATTCACCAGCAACAGCCCGGCATACTTACAAAGATATGATTTACCTGTATACAAATAATGATCAGGAACTAGTATAGCTATTAGCAGATTGTGCCCAAAATCCAGATTATGGTAAAAAAATTATTTGTTAATAAATTAATAGTTGAATAACTTTAATAAAATAATAATTAAAATTTTTTTTTTTGAAAACAGAATATGTTTTAAATTTGTTTCAACAATATCATAATAAATATCTTGGTGGACAGAATGTTATAACAATGTTTCAGTGTCTTAAGCATGAAGTTGATAAATATAATAATTCTAAACAAGGTCGTACAACACTTCAAGAGTATAACTCTCAATTATCTAATGTATTTATTTTGTATATAGTCACAAACTTAATGAGTCATGTATATGAGAAAATCAGACAATTAGGCAAACTCTGTTATGTAGATGTATCTGCATTTTTTAAACTACTAAATACATATATTACTTTATTTTACACAAGTTGTATTGCAGGTGTATTACCTCTTGGTCTTAATATAACATCTGATGAATTAAAAATAACTTTTGAAAAAGAGCTTAATCTTCTAAAAGAACTTCTTTCACAACATGCTTTCTTCAATCAAGGGTCTAATACTGGTCCAATGATTTTTCTTACAAATGACTCAAGAGCCGAACAAAATGCATTAGAAAAATGCTGGACATAGTCAAAGCAATTGTTGTGTGTATTTCATGTTCTCCAGGCCTTTTGGCACTGGCTATATAATCCAAAACATGCTATAAGTAAAGAAAATAAAGCATTTATAATAAAAAAATTTTATATACACAGACCGAATTTGAAATAATGAAGTTTTCTAATGAATTAAAGACCAACTATTATTTTATATATCCACAGTTACAAAAGCACTTTGAGTTGCTTTGGAATAGATAACAATCATGGGCAGTTTCATTTTACTCTGGCTTTTTATTTGCGGAAATAACACAAACAACTATATAGAGCACACTTTTAGACTATTAAAAGATATCATATTTGCACATACTTAAACATACAATAGCATTCAAGTATTTCAATTTATTACTGGAAGTATGGAACGATTTTATGAATATCGATTACTTGGGCTAGCAAATAGCTACCCTGGTCACCTCCAAATTGCTAAACAATTTTTATGTCCTGGGTGGGACAAAATTAATATAGCAAAAATTCAGCAATCTAAAGTAGATACAGAATACTTGGTCCCAAGTCAAAAATATAGCACTAATCTATTTTATACTGTCAATGTTGAAATTTGTACATGTACTTGTTTTACTGAATTATCCGGAACACCATGCAAACATCAAGATACAGTAGCTGCTAAATACCATATCAGGTTATTAAATATTTTTCAATTATTAATGCCGTATGATTATGCAATTTTTGTATATATTAGTTATTGTAAGTATATATATAGTTAGTAATTTATCTAATTATTGCTAACAGCGTTATTATTTTAAAATTTAAGGGATTATATCAAATGATTTTTCTTTTTATGCATCACTACATTCTTACACAAATGATAACCAACTTAAGAATAATCTTATATTAAATTGTGTACTTTAAAATACTGACAAACCCAAGAAAATAGAAGAACCTAATGCCTATAACAAAACACAGGATACGGAAGAATTTGCTGATCTAACTACAAAGTATATATATTACAGTATATTTATTTTATACCTACTCTAAGATGTATCTAAAATTTTATTTTAATATACAGCTCAATTTCTTTCAAATTGTTTCTTGAAATGATCAAGTATGATTATGAGAACTGTGGTCCGAATCTTCAAATTGCTCAAAAAATTTGCAGAACGATATAATGTAGCGAAAGCTAAATCAATTTCTGCATTAATATCATTTCTTTATGATATTAATCGCAATGTTGATCTGCTCATATATATATAAAGTGGTTCGAAAATTAGAGTACAAGTTGAATCAGTAAAGCATCGAAAGACTAGTACTAAAGAAATTCTGATTCTTATATTATTCTAGCATGTAAAGTTTAAGCAACCAAAAAAGTATATAATCTTAGTAAAGCTATTGATAAGAATTAATAACTTTAGTTAGTAAGAGTTGCGTTTATATTTCAAATATTGCTATATAATATAAAAGTTAGTTTATTGGGTTTAGTATACAATATTGTATGTTATGGCTATGGCTATCTCAATATGTAACTACCATTATGCATCAATTATTATAAAGCTTCTGTAATATAAGTACAGATATCAATACAATTGTTTTACAATACTGTATTTGTGTATTGATTTTAAAGTAATTATCGCATATTGATAAATTCATAAAAATTTAAAAGTATTTATAACTTGTTGACTTTTAAAAAAATATATATATCTTGGAAAGTAAGTTTTTTTGATATGCTAAATCGAGAAAACAAACTTATACTTACTTATTTTAAATAAAAAAAATTTTGAATACATTTTGAATAGCTATAGAATATAGGTCAATTTTTAGAAATATGGTATGACTGTAATATTTACTAATCTAATTAAGAAACTTAAGTTTTTTTGCAATTTTTTTGCAATTTTTTTTCAATTTTGCAGATTATATTTTGGTTAAATACATATTACTAAACTATTCTAACTTTAACTCCAATTTTCTATTAGCATTGCTAATATTAATTCTTTCAAAGATTGTGCAAGAGTATAAGTATTCTTTTTGTGAACTTTTGACTAAATATATACTCTGGCTATGTTTATATTAAATATCATATATTACTTTAGTAGAAGCTACTCGTATTTAAAATAAATAATTATTTAAAGTTTAACAATTAAAGCTATAACACATATATAATCAAATTTTTTTTAAATATAATCAATTATTTCTCAACAACCACATGGCCAAACTTTGATAAAATTTTTTCATTTTAATTCTGCAAAAATTTAGAATTAAAATAAAAAAATTTTCATCGAATTTTGTTCAGATAGTCGCTAAGAAATCTTCATTTAAAGTTTAATATCTCTTGTAAATGTACTTTTTTTTTTTTTAACTTAAACCGATTATTTCTCAATAACTACTCAATCAAATTCGATGATTTTTTTTTATATTAATTTTAAATAGCTATAGAATTAAAATAAAAAAATTTTCATCAAATTTGATTTAGTAAGTATCAAGATATTTTCATTTGAACACAAAAAATCATAATCATAAGTAGAGCAAAAAGGGGAGTTCTGGCACACTTTTTTGGTACTCTGGGTACTAAAGTATTCATTTTGCTTTTTAGATC